GTGACAACCAGATCACTGCAACTTCACCCAAAAGCTTCATTCTTTTTCCTGCACAATGCTGGGAAACCTCGAAGAAATGCTCTCCTTCTTCTGCCGNTTGCCTCGTTTTTGGACCCTCGTCGCTTTTGGCTTGTGACGACTTAATGTTCTTTTATTTGTTTGTAGACACAAGCGTAGAAAAAATAATATTTACATAAGCGACGTGGTATGATTATATTTTGTAAGTATATAAACCACTTGCATGGCGTGGTTGTGAAGATTGGATTTAGGGCATTTGAAAGGGTTGCCAGAGTTGCTAAACTATTAAATTTGTGACAACCAGATTACTGCAACTTTAACCAACAGCTTCATTTTTTTCCTGCACAATGCTGGGAAACCTCGAAGAAATGCTCTCCTTCTTCTGCCATTTCCGATGAGTTTTGTGACCCGGTCGAATTCTAAAAGGGCCCTGCAGCGTGACCAACTGAACCAGATCGCCTTTTGAAAACAGCAGAAAGTTGTTTAGATAAATAATTGATGGCCAGTCCATGTAGTTACAAAATTCGTTTTGAGCGCGAGAGTGCAGATCCTTCCACCACCGCATAGACGTAATCACCAAATTTTCGGAAATTCGGCTCAAAATGAAAATCAGCGGCGTAAGAACCTCTTTGGCCCTCCCGAACCCTGATCGAGGTAATGTTATGCCTGTAAGCGATGGTCGTAAAGTTTAANTCTAAAAGGGCCCTGCAGCGTGACCAACTGAACCAGATCGCCTTTTGAAAACAGCAGAAAGTTGTTTAGATAAATAATTGATGGCCAGTCCATGTAGTTACAAAATTCGTTTTGAGCGCGAGAGTGCAGATCCTTCCACCACCGCATAGACGTAATCACCAAATTTTCGGAAATTCAGCTCAAAATGAAAATCAGCGGCGTAAGAACCTCTTTGGCCCTCCCGAACCCTGATCGAGGTAATGTTATGCCTGTAAGGGATGGTCGTAAAGTTTACNCAAAATGAAAATCAGCGGCGTAAGAACCTCTTTGGCCCTCCCGAACCCTGATCGAGGTAATGTTATGCCTGTAAGCGATGGTCGTAAAGTTTAACTCTACTTTGTCCTCTCCGAAACTTCGTTTCGTTGCCAATGGTCGAAGTTAGTCTGCGTAAACAATCTTTTTCAGAAAAGGCCTGGTTCTTAAGACATTACTCTGAAACCACTCATACCACTCGTTCGTTGTTTTAACCTCGCAGACTGTACCATAATCATCACTAGGCTGTGGCTTAAGTTAGAGCGAACTTTATTCACGCGAATTTGCTCGAAATCGCTTTGAATGTATCTGCGTATATTGGTTACGTGGCTTACGGAAACCATAATATACCAAATGTAGGAATTTCGACTGCCTTGAACTACTCGCGATTTCAATGTTCCTCACAGACCCTTACGATTTAAACCACCCTTTCATCTTAAAGCAGTTAAGGCAAACTTCTATTCTTTAGCGCGTATATTAAAAGCGCTCTCGGAATTTAACAACATCTCTAAGGTCGAGGCCACGCAATGAGCAACAAAACGGCGAACGGCTGAGCGGCGCCATACAGAAATGCTGCTCAGCCGCTCAAAAAGACCGCTAAGTGCGTGNGCTGAGCGGCGCCATACAGAAATGCTGCTCAGCCGCTCAAAAAGACCGCTGAGACACTTCAATAGTATTTCATATGTTTTAATTTTAAGCCGCTCGCAGCTCACTGCGTGGCCTCGGCCTAAAGCTCTAACCAGAATTGCAGCGGTCGACGGTTAACCGGTGTGAAAATTAAAACTCATAAAGGCATATGGAATGGCTCATAATTGCGGCGGCAGCGTTTTTATCGCCGGCGTTTTTCGGTTGATTTAATTTTATTTATATTTTTACCGTCCAGCGGGGACGGCACGATGTTGTTTGCCAATGTTTTGATCCATTTTTATTGCCAGAAAATCTACATACACGCACATGCCGAAAAAAATTTTAATTTTAAAGATACATAATGTTCAAGTCAAAATAACAACTGACGGAAGCCGTCGTGTGCGGCGATAGTGTTTACTCCGACGGATTTCACTGCGACAACTGTTCCGCTGTAATTCTGGGTAGAGCTTAAGAAGGTTGATATTGAATTTTCATCAGCAAGCTCTTTATTAAAGTCCACGCTTGAATCGCTTTACTCTTATATTAACATGATTCACGTATAATACTTATTTTTGCAATCTGCGTAATGTATGAATTACCGAAACCGCAGCCTTAGTCGGTAGTTGGTGTCGGTAGTTAGTGTTGAGCTCTAGATCACTTGCATCTGCATATTCGTTGCCACGTTGATAATGTTCGAGACGTTTTAATGGACTTTGGCGATAGCTTTCGTATTTTTTTTTGGCTTTTTGGAATTCTTCATGTTTCATACCTCGGAAGTTTTTCGAGATTTTTTGGGTACTTTTAGATTATGCGGTACTTTTCAGGTATTTTTCGGGATTCTTCGGATTTTTAACACATTTTTCGGTATTTTCGAATCCTTTTCAGAACTTGTTGACATGTTGGGGATTCTTCCAGATCTCTTTTAGGTTGACATTTTCGGGATTTTTCAGCATTTTTTTTGATATGATCCTGGTATTTTTAGAATATTTTTCGAAAATTTTCGAGATTTCTCTTGTTTTACCCTTCGGGATTTCTTGCAAATTTACGGGGTGTCTTTCCGGGACGTTTTTGAAACTTTTGGATTTTTTTTTGCGGATTTCCTCGAAATTTTTCGGAAACTTTAGAGCATTTTCTTTTCTGGACTTTTTGGGCTTTTCGGAACGTTTCGGGGTTTCTAGCTTGCCAAAGCTTTCTCTTATAAATATTTGGTTGTAATAATTGGTATTGGCGAAAAATTTGTTCGTGGACATTCGGTATTCTTCGGGATTTCAGATAGACTTTTTGGGATTTTTGAAGCTTTTTCGTCACGTTTCGGGAAATGGTTGAGTCCCTGTAGGGACTTGTCGGTACTTTCGGGACTCTTAGAGATATCTTTTTTCGAGAATGTTCGTTTTGTACTCTCCATGATTTTTCAGCTACTTTAACAAGATTCTCGGTATGGTTCTGGTTTCGAGCATTTTAGGAATTGCCCGTAAAGTACTTTAGGAGTGTTTTTTTTTGTGACTTTTTGGAATTTTTTCCGTTCTTTTCTTTGTTTTTTTTGGACTTTTCAGTAATTTTTAAGAGATTTTTCGGGCATTTTCTGAATATTTATAGATTTTTAGCGTTTTATTTGCAGAGTTTTCGGACGTTTTTGGCATCAGTGGGGTTTTACTCTTTGAGATCTTCTAGAAACTTTTAGATCTTCTGAATTCTTCGGGGCTTTACGCAATGTTTCGTGTTTTCCTGGCTTCTCAGAGATTATTCAAATCCATTAGAGATCTTTGTTATCAAAACAAAATATTTGGCTTTTTATTGTAAATTTACTATGGCTATGACCTCTATTATTTGTGAACTTTTAAGGGCTTTGCTTGATGGGTTTTTATTTTTTCTATCGTTTATAATCAAGGCAATTGACTTTTTCGAACCGACTTGCGATTTTATGAATTCTTTTTGATTGAAAATATATATATATATATAAATAAAAACGATTGAATTTCAATTTTATGGGTTAAATTATAATTTATTTGAAAAAATCTCAACCTGTACTGCACCTGCCATAAATGTATTTCTGTCGGCTTGGCAACCCAGCCTTATTGTTGATATTTTTATCTAAATGAGATTGCGGCCATAAGCAAACATGTGTAAGTAGGTATTAAGCGTGTGCATATGTTTACGCAGCATTAAAATATTTAAATTAATACGCATGTATATATGTACATTAGGGTGGTCCTTAAATGTAGGATGCAAATTTTTACATCAGATTTCCTCAGCCGCAGCCCCTACGTCAACGCTACTATAGTCGAAGGTATCATATATAAATTTTGGCCCCGATTGAAGTCGGTTAAGGTGTGTCGCACAAGGGTCAAATTCAGATTACCCTAGGAAGGGATATCCTCGACTTTAATAGATAGTATTTATGTAGTGTATGTTGTATTTATTGTATTATTGTAGTAATTTTTTTAGTCCATAGATATACCTTTGCGGCACGCTTTAACCGACTCCAATTAGGACCAAAATTTATAAGGGACATCCTCGACTTTAGTTATATAGATTTTGGGTATTAAATGAAAAAAATAAAAATATTTTTAAATGATTGAGTCTATATAGAGGAATCTGTACTTTGCCTCCCTGTGCGACACGCCTTAGCCGTTACATGAACATTTATAGTAACTGGGACCCTGGATTGAGGGGGTGAGACTGAAAAGATGCATTCATTTTATTTTTATGGACTTAGGGTGGTGTACATATTTGAAAACACGAAAATGCGAACATCCTTTTCCAGTGTTTTTCTATTTTTGTGTAATTTTTTGGTGCGTCTGTGTACCCACTTTAATATGCATAAGTAAATATGCTTATCACACATACATACATTTGTATGTAACTACAATGATTTTATCGCGCAAAAACAGCGCACACCTGCACAGCTTCAGTTCATCATCATCCTTTGCATATTAAATTGTTGCTCAAATTTACTTACCGTATGCTAATTTTTTCGTTGACATCTTCATTGTTACATATTCTTCGTGCACGGCAGCTTACGAATTCGCATGTAGTTTTTGACTTTTTTCACATTACCGCACCCAATTAGATTCATATGCGTGCGTGGGTGTGCGTGTGTGCTTAAAATTTTTATGTAAATTTTTATGCTAAACACGTTTTAATAATTTATAATTCCTTATACATTTTGTGTCATTTACGTTTTTATCTCCACTTGCGACGTCCTGCCAACAAAAACATAAAACAACAACAACAACAACACTATCGCTATATACAGTTGACTGTAAGTTGGTGACACCCTGTCGCAACTCTATCGTACGCCAACTATTCGCAAATGCCCTGCCTCTGTTCATTCTTGACGTGCGTATGCTCATTCGCTGTGGTGACTTTTCCTGGCTGTGTGCCGCATGGTGCTCGGTAACTTGCGGCCAAGGCTTGCAAATGCGTGGCGTTGAATGCAAATCATCCACCGGCAGTGCCGCCCACTTGGGAGACCCGCATCCGTGCAGCCATACGCGACGGGCAACTCTTATGATGGCGGTGGTACAGTTATACTCGGCAGCAGCGGGCCACTCGCAGCGGTGAGTACTTAGCTAGGAGAATTGAATTAAAAAAAAAATAGAAAAAATTATACAGTAAGTTTATTTAAAAATAATAAGTACTAAAAAATTAAAAATTAAAAATTTGCATACATTTAACTTACCTACATTTAGTCTGCGCCATACCTTACCTTCCCTTCTCTAGCAGTTCGATGATGGTGATCTCGACGTGGAGGAGGATGAGGACAATGATGATTCTGCGGATGTTGACGATGTCGACGACGAAGGCGTTGACGAAGCTGGCGATGCCGGCAATGATAATGCCGGTTTAGTGTTATACATACAACGATGATTCCGCACCGCAGTACGCACATCGCTCGATCAGTCATTTGCATCATGATGAGCTGCAACAGCCGCGTGCCGAACGCCTTACTAGCGGTGGTGTTGGATATGGTTATCGCAGTAAATCGGATCCAGAAGCGCAGGTGCCTGCTGGCGTTCCAAGGTGAGTGAAAGGCAGTTAATAGAAAATGGTTAACATTTATTTGGATTTAAAAGAGCCAAGAAAACGCGGGGACAGTAGAGGTTTTTGCTCACCCTTGCGCCTTAAAAACGATCTCGTGTCTCCAATTAGTTCGCAGACCAGTTTGTTAAAGAGGATTAGGTTAGGTTAGGTTAGTTGGTAGCCCCGTGTAACCAAAGCTCACTTAGACAATTTGAGATTGTCCTTTGTTGTCAATTCTGAACGGCACTGTATACTTTATCGATAAAACGCCCCGAGCTCATTATGTATTTACGAATTCGGCTAATCTCAATGCTCCAGGGCTCCTCGGGGCTATTTATTTAAGATGTGAGAGTCCAAGTTATTCAATCTTAGCCACGCAAAAGCTGAGCACCTAAGAAGTTAGTGTTGAGGCGATTCCACGTCGTCATCTTCCAGGCATCTGCGACATACGGGGTCCGGTAGTATGTTCAGCCTTACTGCGTGAATACCGATTGGACAGTGGCCCGTTAAAACTCCCACCAGAAATGAGAGCAGTGGCTTTGTGAGTGTGAGGAGTGCCCTCGACCGCCCTCGGTCCACCCTCGGCCAGAATGACCTTGTGATCGCGAATTCGGTATTTTTCGTCCAGCGCTTGCTGAGTTGAAATAAGGCCCATCTATCCAAGAGTGTACCACAAGCGGTCAATGGCACCCCCAGTCGCCACTTATCCGGCGATAGTGTTTCAAGTGTCGCTGTGACCCGGAACCCAATAAGCCTAATACAGAAGTATTCCAACGCCACCGAAAGAGAGAGCAGACGTTCCTTAACCAAGTTATAGCGAACTTCCAACGAACCCAACACCATGATTGCCGCTTGGCTATCAGAATATACGCCCACTTCCCTGACTGTTATAGCACTCCACTCCCGCCTGGAAGACACTGCGGCAGCCTGTACTTAGTGCTGATGGTCAGCTCTTGACAGAAGACCCCAACACCATCCCTGCCATCCAGATTCGATCCATCCGTGAAGAAGTTCACGGTCAATCCATCGGTTTCCCTGAGTCTAATAGCCGTTCGCGCCGCGACAATTCTGCCTGCAACGTCTACAGGCACTACGTTCAGCATTACGTTCCGTGCTAATGTGGTGGCGGTCCGCAGTGGCCCGTTGTACGCGCTCCAACTGCTATTGTTGCCTTTTCCAGTGAGCTACACCACCGCAAAACATAATTGACTTGACTATGACTATAATTACACCGTGCGACAGTCAATTTTACACATGAAAAAAACAATATATTCACAAAACTGGGGGCCAAATATAGTAAAGTTGCGTTTTTAGTTTTTCTCTCTGACGTCCAGATTTTTTTAATAGGACTTTGAAATTTCTAGAGTACGATTGAATAAAAAAATTATTCAAAAGATTCGATGCATTGTAAAATAACAATATGGGTATCAATTAAAAGGAAAAATTATGTAGAATAGAAAAAAAAAATAATAATTTTTGGGTGCACCAGGACGAATAAGTATTGAAGCGTCCTTTTAAAACTTTATCCTTGATTATCCTAGGAAATTTCAAATATTTATTTTTGAAAAAAATATATGTCAAGGACTAATATGTTAACTACCACATCTTCGAATTTCGTACTTCTAGCTTTTTTAAATAAAAATGTACACTTTTCTTTATAAGATATTGGTAGTTGAAATATACATAAATGAAGATACTGGAATCGGTTTTTTTGGAACCATGTATGCGCTCTAAAAGAACAAACTGACCATGTGATGTACGGTTTAAATACTTTAATTTTTTTGTATACAACGGCGTAGCCAGCCTTTCACCTAGGGGGCAGGAGATCATATAGAGGAAAAAAATGTTCTTATTTCAATTTTTTTTCTTTGTGTATATAAATAGAATTGTTTGGGACTAAGGGTCAAAACATAGTGGAGCCGCGAGCAAAGCAAAGAGCTAGCATCGAGCAAAGCTTCAATTACAAATGTGTATGTACGCTTTGCTCTTCACTATGCGCTTTCCCATTGAAACATATGCGTTTGAAATCGACGCTTTGCCCGATGTTCTTTGCTCGCCGCTCCACTATGTTCTTCGCCTAAGAAAGTATAAGTTTTCTGGTATCCTTTACAATGATATCAATTGTTTTTTAAATAGGTTTGTAATTTTTTTTTTTTTAATATTTTTTTATAAAAAAGGGTATGTTTTGCTCTTAAGTGTTGTTTCTCAAATTTTTACATACGAAGTATTCAAATATGCATACCTAGAAGAAAGGGTATTAAATCGCCTTTACAACGATACCAACTTTTTAAAAATCAGTTCAAAATCGCTATCAGGTTTTTAATTTTTCGAAGACCCAACCTTTGCCCGCTTACATCACCTGTAAGATGATGACTGTGGCTGTGATTATTGCAATGACTATGACTACAACTACGAAAATGACTATATTTGTGATTATGATTATCACTAAGACTATAAACATGACTGTGACTGATTAAATATGATCATGCCGATGACTACGATTATGACTATGACAATGACTTTTACTTTGACTATGACAGTAATCGAGCGAGATGGTTGGTTCTAGTCCCACGGCCAGCACGATTGTTTTTTGAATTATTTTATTATTATGATTTATTTTTTTATGTAATTATAGTTGTTGTGGTCTGTTTTAATAAAATTAAACTCCAAAAAAATTTATCAACTGTAAAATAACATAAAAAAAAGTTTAAACTAAAATTAAAAATATTATACAAACAATTTTTAAAGGAGGATTTAAAAGGAGCCGTTATATCAAGTGGGTTTTAAAATTTATATGCCCTTCAAACACAAATTATTTTCTAAAAAATGCGTTTGAATGGCAGATAAATTTTAAAACGTACTCGAGAAAACTGCACTAAAATCTCAAAATTAAAAGAAAATGAAATTTGAAAAAATAAAAATAAATATTAAATTAAAAAAAGAAGAATATTCCGCTGCCCGAGGACTCGAAAATCGGCTTTGATCACTCGTTGCTTGCGGCTGTTGGAGTAGCGTGATCATCAAAATGATATACATCCCATTGTGAACGCGCTTAAGTGCTTTCTGCGAAAAGAGCTTTTCACCATGAAAGTTGGCAAAGCGTATTTTTTGTAAGATTTTCGTGCCAGAATAAAGAGATTCTTTTAAGAACGCCGAATCTGGTTTGTCTCCCAACCAGTAGCTCGTTTCTGTAACAATTCTCTACCAAAGCGAATTGAGATATAAATTCGCCGCCCTGTTCTCTACTGCTAATGAGTAGTAGAGAATGACGTATATTCGCTACCAGTAGAGAAACAATCGGTAGAGAAGAATTACAGAAACAGGCTACTGATTTGACAAGGGATGACAGAAAATTGTTCCACACTCTAAAAAAAAAAAAAAAAAAACAAGTAAGAAAGTCTAAGTTCGGGCGGAGCCGAACATTAAATACCCGGCGCAAGTATTAAATATATGTTTTTTCACCCATCCGAAACCTTCCGCTAGATGGTAAGCCGAGGTGTATCAATTTTGAGTAAATTAGCGTCCTTCAATTTCGAAATATTGNCAAGGCCAACAACTGTGCCAAGTTTGAAAGAAATTGGTGCAGCGGTTACCAATGTATACACATGTAAACATAAGTGGGCGTGGCTTCGCCCATTTTCCAAAAATTTATAATATTCTTATTTTCCGTCTAAAAATTATTGTAAATATCAATTTTGAGTGAATTATCTTCAGTAGTTACTAAAATATCGCAGTTTTCGTATTTCTGGAAATTACCGTTATATGGGAAGTGGGCGTGGTTAAAGTCCGATTTCGCCCATTTTCAATACCAACCTACCTTGGATTAAGGGAAACCTACATACCAAATTTCGTTGAGATATCTCAATTTTTGCTCGAGTTATCGTGTACACGGACGGACGGACAGACGGACAGACGGACAGACGGACGGACAGACAGACATGGCTTAATCGATTTCTTTTTTCATCCTGATCATTTATGTATACATTTGTCTATATCTATCTCCATTCGTTTTGGCTGTTACAAACAACCGTTATGTGAACAAAATTAATATACCCTTGTGCACAAGTGCGCTCGGGTATAAAAATGTGTAAATTTCCTAGCTCAAAGATAGGTTACTGATTTCCTACCTTATTATCCGGGAAATTACATGCTCGATTATTCAACGAATAGTTTGTGTTTTTAGAGTGTAATATAGCTGCTGTGGTGTGCGTAAATTTACTATGAAAGTGTGTAAAAGCTAACAAATACACATCTGCTGTTTGATTTCACCCGTAGAATTGTGTAAAGTCGTTAATCATTTTTACACAGATATTCATGGTGTAAATTTACCAAAAAATTTAAAAAATAAACAAAACTATACTCGATTTATATTTTATTTAGATTTAGATTTTATTTATGACATCTTTCAAACTCTCTTGCAACTTGGGGTGTCAAATGAAAGCTTCTGGCTCTTTCTGATTGACTGAAGTAGAAAGCTTTCCGATACAATTCTGTGCGATGAACTTTTTTTCAAACGAGTTAAATGGTTTAAATTTTCCAAAAACAACTGCATGCGATTTAACTTGTTTACAAAGAAGTTTTGTGCATTTAACTGGTTCAAGCCCATTTAAGATGTTTAACTCGCTAATTTGAACTTAGTATAAGGCTATATTTGTGGTTATCATTAATGATTATTTTCAACAATTGTTATTGATCTCGAGGCCGTTTTTTTAATGAAATTTTATTGTGGAAAAGCAACAATAATTTGAAAAAATGGTAGAAGTGATAGCTATTTCGGAAATCACCACATTTCCTCATCAGACTTCTTCCAGCAGGATTCGAACCGACAATCCCATTGACTCAGCCAGTTGCCTACGCACTGTGCTAAGTTCGCCTTGTTAATTCTTGTTGCTTATTTCCACAATTTCACATGTTCAGGCAACTACAAAAAATTGTTCAATATAATTGTTATAAGGCCATAAAATAACAAAAAACATTTATGATTATTATCATTAATGATT